AACTACCATATTATTGGGTTATATAGGGTTATATAGGGACAGTGGAAAAGAAAATGGAAGCTACTCTAGTTTAGGGTTTAGGGTTTGGGGTTTAGGGTTTCGGGTTTGGGGCTTTGATTATATAGGGATAATGGAAAAGAAAATGGAAACTACCATACTAGAGGGTTATATAGGGTTATATAGGGACAGTGGAAAAGAAAATGGAAGCTACTCTAGTTTAGGGTTTAGGGTTTGGGGTTTAGGGTTTGGGGTTTGGGGCTGGGATTATATAGTGATAATGGAAAAGAACATGGAAACTACCATACTAGAGGGTTATATAGGGTTATATTGGGATCATGGAAAAGAAAATGGAGGCTACTACAATGGGGTTATATAGGGTTAAGTTCGGGTTTAGGGTTTAGGGGATGTATAGCCTGGGGTTGCTAATAAGGAACTTATCATCGGGTATAGTTTGGGGGTTATATAAGGGTTTAGGGTTTAGGGTTTAGAGTTTAGGGTTGAGGGTTTAGGGTTTAGAGTTTAGGGTTTAGGGTTTAGGGTTTGTATTGGGGTTCTGTAGGGATAATGGAAAAGAAGATTAAGTGACTGAAAGATGGGTAGGTTTTAGGGTTTAAGCTACCATAATATGGGTATATAGGGAGTAGGGTTTAGGGTGTAGGGAGCCAAGTTACCATAAGATGGGCACATAGGTTTTAGGGTTAAGGATTTACGTTGCCATAATATGGGCATATAGTAAATAAGGGAGTTTCCTCATTATACCCTAAGCCCTATTTACCCTTGTTATAATAACTTAATTTAAGTTCCTCAACAGCAACAACCCTAAACCCCTCACCCCTAACCCCCAAACTCCTAAACCCTGAACCCTAAACTTTAAACCCTAAACCTTGATCACCAATAACAGCAACGCAGGAGCTTATGGCCTTTTGGATTTGGAACTCCCGGCGGTTTTTGCGGGTCTACGAGTATTGCCTGGTCACTGGACTCAGAGGTTTAGGGCTTAGGGGTTAATCCCGGGGTTAAGGGTTTAGGGCTTAGGGTTTAGGGGGTTAGTGTTCGGGGTTTAGGGCTTAGGGTGTAGCGGGTTAGGGTTAATGGTTTAGGGCTTAGGGTTTAGAGGGTTAGGGTTTGGGGTTTAGGGCTAAGAGGCTTAGGCTAAGAGTTTGTTGCAGTTGGAACCCTTAAGCTCTGAGCTCTGAAGTGAAGTGTGGACGATAGAAAGGGAATGTCAAAAAATATATATATATATATATACAAACGTTGGGGACTGCCCCCACCCAGCAACAGTCTATAGTAGGGCCCCTATTAAGGGCTATATGTAACCATATTATAGTTATTATCCAACTGTTACTGAGGGGGGCGGGGCAGTAACCCAACATATATGTTGCATAATATAGGGCTACTGGAAAAGAAAATGAAAACGACTATTTAGGATTCAGGGTTTATGGTTTAAACTGGGAGGTCTGGACGATGATAGTCCTCTACGTGGTAATGGGCACAGCGCCGATGATGCTCTTCGGTTTCATTGCCGTGGCCGGGATCGTCCAGGGACAGCTGGCCAGCATTCCCGTCACTCCGCTCCAGCATTTATTGGTTCTTAGTAGGGAAGAAACGAATATCTAAAATTTTCTATAGGGGTTATAAGAGGGGTACAATACCTCATTCCCTACCAAGAGCCAGTGAGAATAAGAAGTGTAAGGAGGAGTGAATTGATGAGGGAAGAAAACCTGAACGCTTTAGCAGGGGAAAGTTAATTAAGTTGCTTGGAATCTGTCAATGGTAAATTTTCTTAACGGATATGAGGATCTCTTCATAACATTCTATGATATTGGAGTAAGAAGTTCGCTGACATACCCGGTAGCTAGCTCTAACTTATGCTTAGACGTCTTAGTGTAGCGGGAGGAATGATCATGGTGGTCATGGCAGCAGTAGTGATAGTATCTAGCAAAGGAGTGATGTAAAGAACCCCTAAACCCTAAACCGTAGCCTTCACCCAAGGGATGCGACCCAACCCCCATTTGTCATCACAGAGCCCCGAATGCTGAACTCTTAGCCTTAACCCTTGAAGCCCGCAACCCTGAACCCCAGGGTTTAGGGTGTAGGGAATCCGTATCAGACCTTCATCAGCTACAGCAAGGTGATCCGCCGGAAGCAAACACTTGGGGGCCCGCTTAGAAGCACGGTGCTGCACACCACCTGTCGGGACCTCGGCTCGGGTTTAGGAGTTTAGCGGTTGGGGTTTAGGGGTTTAGGGGT